AAAAGATATTTTTGAGTAAAGTAAAAATTGAAGTAATAAAGGAGAAGAAAATTATAATTTTAATTTTCAATTTAATTATTACGTGGGAATTTCATCATTTATATCTATGCTAATAAATGAACCAAATTTTCAAAATTCAAATTTAAAATCAAATATATTAAATTCAATGAAATAACCTTTCTGTTTTTCTTCCTGCAAATATTTGACCTCATTAAAATATAAAAAAATTGTTGTAAATAATAATTAATTTTAAATTTTAGAATTCGTAATAATTTAGAAGTTTAATAAAATTGTTCCTTTCAAATAAATAAATAAATAAGAATAATTATATACTATATTAATTATATATTATATTTGCAATTTCATCGAACGTATAAAATAATTCAATGATAAATCTGTAATTTTACTTTTATTTAAGAACTAAAAAAGCATAGGCATTATTTTCTTTTAAAAATTTCATTCATAAAATTGTTAATTTCAATTTGCTTTGTTTATTCAATATTATAATAATCTTTCTATTTAACTATATCAACTCATTTTCATATAATTTCATATAAATTCTTTTTTATTGAAAAAATTCAATTTCTTCTATTTCATCTTTTTCTTCCGATTTGGAACAGTAAAAATTAATTATTAAATATTTAAAACATTAACTATATTATCCATTTAAATAACATATCTGATAATAAGAGCACATTGAATGAAATATAATGAATATTTAATTAAATGAATAATTAATTAATTGATTATTGCATTTGAACAAACAAACTAAATTGCAAGATATTTCATTTTATTCATATATGATAGAAGAATATTTTGCAGCTAATTCTTTACTATTTTTTTTAATTTTTCAATTTTAATTAATTAATTAATAGTTAATTTTAATTTAAATCAAATGATTAATTAATTAATTGATTATCGTATTTGCATAAATATACTAAATTGTAAAATATTTCATTATATTTACAGAGCAGAAGAATATTTTGCATTTAATTCTTTACGACACTTTTTTTTAATTTTCAATTTAATTTATTTTTTATAATTAATTCATTGCAATAAAGCAGAAGTTATTCAACACGACTTATTAATGATATGGTAGAGTATTAAGCTAGTAATTCCAACAATACTTTATCATAAAAATGAAATCCATCAAAAATGCAACAAAGATGTCAAAAAGTGGTACTAAGGTGAAATCAAAAAATTATTACTCAAATTTAAAAATTTCAAATTAAATTTAACAATGAAATTTATAACATATAATATGAATTAATCATTACATAACATTCGTAATAATGATTTCTAAGATTCCTAAGAAAATACATTTCGTATATCATTGCTGCGAGATATCGATTAGTTTCTGAGAAATTTTGAAAAATTTCAAAAATGAACGATTAATTATTGTCGTATGAATAGCATTAAACATATATCTCTATATATAAGATGAATAATACTAAAATATATTTGATTGATTTTTTTTTCCCTGAATCATTGATTTGTTTTGAAGTTTCAAAAAGCAATTTAAAATTTCAAAATATATTCATTTTATTTGATTTGGTATTTGTAGGAAAATCAATAAAATTAAATAATTTTATTTCTTTAATTGTTTTATATAAAAATGCTTGAAATCATTAATTAACAAATTTCCCTTTTGTTTTTTTGCATTTTTCCAATAAATTAATAAAATAAGGAAATTAAAAGTAAAATTTTGGTAAATGAAAAATTAATTGTGATAATTTGAAGTAATTTTTTGCAGTATTTTCATATGGAACCTGAAATTGATAAACAAATAATCGTTCGTGAAGAGCTGTACGAAGAAATAATATTTTTGCTAAAAAAGGAATGACTGAAATAGGATGTTGAAGAAGGAATGCTTGCAATAATAAGCTTTCTTATTTATATTCGATTTTATAATGCTTGCAATAAGCTTTCTTTATTTATATTAAACTTTATAATTACATTTTAATATTGATTACTTTAATATAGCATACATTCGAAATTAGATTATTAATATATCATTAACACATTCATCATTATTTAATTCTTAATCTTAATCAATTTATAATTTTAATTTCAATTTCAATTTTAATGTAATAAATTTGCAAACAAAGGCTGTAATTAATTTCAAATTAGAAAGAAAAAAATAAAACTAATGAATTTCTTACTGTAGATTAAACTTCAGAAGTGTGATTAGTAATAAGAAATAACTACTGCAAAGATTAGATAAGTACTGTGTTATTATTGATAATTTAACACTTAACAAACTATGCTAGAATAGATATAAAGAAGTGATGAATTATACCATAGGGAAAAATAAACACAAAGATTGATAAGGCTATGTTTTATGTTAAAGTAAATTGGATCATCAGTGACAAATGAATTCATTCAAAAATTTCATTGCTTTGACAATTGGAAAATGAAATTAGTGAAGTTAAGAGAATAGAAAGATTAAACTCTCTTAGAACTGTAATTGATGATAACGATGAATTGAAATTGAAGAAATATTCAAAGATTAAATGGATCTTTCAAAGTTTATCGATTAATAACAAATAATAAATAAATAAATAAGAAAATGTTTAACCTAAAATTAATTTCAATTTAATTTTAAATTTGAAATCAATAAATTCATTTGAAATTATTAATATTTTTAATTTTAGGAGTAAAATTAAATTAATCATAATTTACAGATATTTTTTAATTCATTTACTCATTAATTATCTCATTAATTTTTTTTTTAGGATAATCAATAAGAAAAAGATAAACAATCAATTGGATTAGAGAAGTAGTGATAATAAAGTAATCAAAATCGCTATCAACAATATTCCTAAATTTTCCTAATCACTTTATCTCTACGTGTAAATAAACATTTAATAATTAACAAACAGGTTGGTAAGCATCGTTATATTAATTGATTACAAGATTTAAATAATTCAACAATAGAATGACAAGTTGAAATCGATTAACATAATTAACCTATTTTAAAATATTTCGCCTACGTTTTGGTTAACTCTGCCAACATCACCGATATAAGATATTGTCTGGAATTGTAGTAATTGATTGATTGTAACATTGGAAATTTTCAAATTTATTATTGTTAATTTTCATTTCAAAATAAATATTTGTTCGCTATCGAACATCCACGGATTTAATCCTTTAAAGAAGCAGAAAGAACGGAAGAGATAGTATTAAAAGGGATGAGAATAATTAGACCAACATATTTCAATCAATTTCAATGATGACGAATGAATTATTCATAAATAGGACATGTAAATATGAATTATAAATAAAGATGATATGAATATGTAAATATAAAATTGATATAATAAAATGAAATAGCAAGTTTTATTGTTATAATAATATATAAAAACAAACAGATATCTTAGGCTTATTGTTACAGTAATATATAACAACAAACAGATATCTTTAAGCTTATTGTTGTAGTAATATGTAACAACAAACAGATATTTTTAGGTTTATTGCTACAATAATATATAACAATAAGCAGACATCTTTAGGCTTATTGTTAGGGTAATACATAAAAATAGATAGATCCATGATGAAATGTAAAAATTTTAAATGCAATAATTGTAGCAAAAAATTTAATGGTAGATTTTGCAATTTAAAATTACTTGTAATAAGTGAAATATTTTCAGAAATGAATTGCATTTTAGGAGGACAAGATAGGTGGGAGGGTGTCAACAAGAGAAAGATTTTAAACTTTGAAATATATTAAATAATGCATAGATAGAAGGCAACACAATCCTTTCATCCATACAATAATTTACCATTTTTGATTTCCTTCTCAGAAAGAGAAATTACAAAGGAATAGAAAAGTTTTGCCAATAACCATTGACAATACTTTGTTGGTGAATTTAGATTTAGTTTAGAATAATTTAGCTAAATTTAAATTTAGCTAATTTTTCTTTCTTTTTTTGTTCAAAATTTATCACATTAAATTATTTTGAAAAATTCAAATTAAAACTTTTTCATTTAATATTCGAAAATTTCATCACTAAGTATATTATCTAATAAAAAAAAACGATCATTGAAGCAAATATCAAAAATATCATTGATAATAATAATAATTATTATTATTAATAATAATTAATAATAATTATTATTATCTCCGAGAAGTTTATATTTCTTATTGACCGCTGAAATTATACAAATTGCACCGTAAATTAAAATGCCAACTATAAGAGAATGGAAGAGTAGTGATGAGACTAAACTTTTGCAAAAAGTTTATTACGGCAGAATTATTTCAAACGAGATATATGTGTATGTTATGTGTATGTGTGTGTCTGCGTATATATATTATTACAACTTGTTAAATAATTACAACTTAAAGTTTCTTGAGGAAAGTTAAAAATTGCAATGACAATAATAACAACGATGACAACGATGACAATAGCAATATAATAATAATATAATAAAGGAAAAAATGGGAAGCATATTTTCTATCAGAAAAAGAAATCATGAAAAATTGCTGATCGATTTAATTATCGCTTTCTAAACAAGCTTTTACATTTTTGGGACAAAATACGACAAAAAGAAAGAAATGTATCAATTTTTAGAAGGAAAAGGGAAAATTACATTTTATTCGACGATTTCAAAATATATTTAATAAAAAGAAAATTAGGAAAAAGCCGATCATTGAAGCAAATATCAAAAATATCATTGATAACAATAATAATTAATAATAATAATAATAATAATAATAATAATGCATTTGAATTTATGCTATAAATAAAATTGAATATGTGTAGAAAAAAGAGCGGAAAAATTGTCGAAAATATCAAAATTAAAAAAGGTAGAAATTTAGAGATTTGGTTTTTTTATCAAAAAATTGAAATTTCCTTTTTGCAATTAAATTTTATTCATAATGAAAAATACATTTTAGCAGTAAAATTTTTTCTTATTTTAAAAATTATATAATATATTTTATGGATTTTAGAAGAATTACAAATATACATTCCTATAGCAAATTTTTCTAACTGAAAATTTCAAATTTTTTCATCATCATTATCATTATCATCATCATCATCATCATCATCATCATCGTTATTATGATTATCATCATCATCATTACCATCATCATTATTATTATCATCATCATCATCATCATTATCATCATTATCATCATCATCATCGTTATCATCATCATTATTATCATCATTATTATCATCACTATTGTCATCATTATTATCATTATTATCATCACTGTCATCATAATCATCATCATCATCATCATTATCATCATCATCAACATCAGCATTATCACACTGGATATTATCGTAAACATAAAATAATAATGAGTTAGTTATAAGGAAGAAATTTTTAAGCCTTAATGCCTAAATTTCGAGGACGATCTACTTGGCAGAGTTAAAACATTCATTTTAAGACGAAAATTTCAATCAAATAAGGTTATACATTTTGTTGAATTAAACGAAAAAAGGAAGAGTGAGAGAAAGAGAGAGAGAGAGAGAGAGAAAAGAAGTCAAACTTAAAATTAGAAATTGAAATACAAAAAGAAGATTTGTGTGAAGCGAAAAAGGTTTGTCATAAACTTTGTTTAGCAAATAAAAATAAGCAAGCATGAAAAGCACTAAAACACTCAACAGCTGTTTCTGTTTCGTTCAAACAGAAAGTGCCACACGCCACAACAATCAATGGCGCAATAAATCTGCGCAGAAAGCTTATATCAATTGAAAGCAAACGGTTGAATTTATGCATAAAAACAAATAAACAAAGCAAATGATATAAATAAATCAACGGATAAAGTTTAATATTGAATTGTAATTTTCAAGTTGAAAACATTTTATGCAACAATGAAGTATACAACAAACATATCACGTGTTTATTATAGATGTTAATTTTAATCTAAGATAACAAAATTGCAATCATCACATTCCTTAAAAATGGCTCAATCTCAATTAGTAATAGATGTGATATGTATAAAGATCAGAGAATGTAATTATCAATATAACCTAATATGATTGATATTTACAAGAAATTCCACATTTAATGGAAATACTTGAAATTATTGTTTACTAAATCTATGAAGATTTTTCCTCGAGGAATAGCAATTTGCAGGTATGTTGAAAAAGTATTTTAAGTGCTATAGATGGAATTTTCATGAAAAGGTTAAACACTTAATGTACTCAAATATCATAACAATAAAAATAGAATGTAATAAATTTATTGGAAAGAATAAGAAAGAGGAAGAAGTGGAAGAAGAGAGGTGAAAGAGGATAAATATGAATATGAATTAACAAATGATATAGAACAACGATAAATTGATGTTGAATTTATAAGTTGTGACGCAAACAAATATTATAAAACTATAAAAGTAGACAACATCTTTCCTTTAAAATTGAAAATTAATTGCTCGTGTAATTACAAATCTGACATGGCCCAATAAAATGAAATTATATAAAATAGCAAATAGTAGCAAATAAAGATGATAATAACGATAACAAATAATAATAATGATAATAATGTTAGTAAATGAAAAAAAATTGTTACGATATTGATAATGATAACGATAACGAATAATAATAATGATAATAATGCTAGCAATGAAAAACAAATGTTACGATACTAATAGTGATAACGATAACGAATAACAATAATAATAATAATGCTAGCAATGAAAACAATTGCTACGATAACGATAATGAATAATAATAATAATGATAATAATGTTAGCAATAAAAATAATTCGATAACGATAACGATAACGAATTGAATAAAATGAAAATTATTTTCATATAGTGATATATGTATATTCATAGGAATTTTAATTTTTCACAATCTTATCTAACATTGATACATTAGAAATAAGTTATCGTCTATCTCATTTAAATATGATGTGAAATATTTAGAATTTTTATTAAATAATTTAAATTAAATGTGGTTGGT